GTATATGTATATATATATATATATATGATGCTGATGATGAAGATACTCAGCCATATCGCTTAGTGTCTCTGACCATCGGTTACGGTCATCGTGAGGTCCCCATCCATGGAGTCTAATGAGACCTATGTGAGCCAGTCTCCTGGATAGGGTTTTCGTACCCTCGTGCCAGGTCCTAGCTTGACCACCGTTGACTATTTTCCACCCACTACCCGCCTCGGCAAACATCGCTCACCGTGGCCACCTATCTGGTGACATGCGTAACACATGTCCCAACCAGCGTGATCCATGAAGGTCGACTACTTGCTCCGGTGGACGACCGCGGTAACCTAAAACTCTACGCCTAACCTCAACATTGCTCATCCGACTGCCCCACCACATTCGTACCATGGTGCGTAGACAATGGTATCCAGAGACTGACAGTCTATCTTTATACTATTTTCTTAATGGCAAAGTTTCTGCGCCGAATAGCAGAAATGACCGAACTGTCGCGGCATAAACTCGACCCTCCATAGACAGACGGATGTCGCGACGACGCCACAGATGTCTCAAGTTGGCAAATACCAATCGAGTTTTCTGTATGAGGGCTGACGCTTCATCCATAATGGGTCCGTCGGGAGAGATAAAGTTGCTCAAATAAGAAAACTTACCCACTTGCTCTACTACTTCCCGGTTAGAGTGAGGCTGGGTGCTGGAAAAGAAACAGTCTTTTAGCAACGCTTTCCACCTTGAAGGTGCAAAACGCATACGGGACATAGTTACGCTAATACGCAAGTTATTCATAGAAACGTACTATGCAAATGGATCTTCACTCAGCATCACACTGTCCTCTGCATAATCCAGATTGCAGTCTGGAATCGGGGGGGAAATCGATGCCACTATCTTTGCACGAGGATAAGGCTGATTCCATAAGCAAATCGTTAACAAACTTATTCAGTCAAACAGAGAGAGGGAGAGAGAGCAAGACGAACACCAAGTTCCGTATTGAACTCGAGTGAAAAAGTGCTGTAAGCTCATCGTTGACTTCGGCTATTAGTATAAAAGGATGGTAACATTGAAATGAACTTCTCAGGCACATCCTTCAGAGAAAGGCAGCGTCAGAGTTTAGAGCGGTCCACTGAGTCGAAAGCCGCTTACAAATAGAGGAAAATGAAAACCGAGGGTCTGCGAAAGGAATGTCAGTGCTCCACAAGTTGGCAAACAGTGAAGATGTGGTCGACACAACCTCCACCAGGTCTAAAACCAGCCTGGTTCTCACGCGTACACCGTTCATGTGCGACAGAC